TTATGAGTTATAATGGAATAACGAACAACAGACATATAAGAAAATATATCAGACTGGCAAAACAAAGCAGACATCATGTGACTACATATCAGTTCTTTACTTTGAATAAAGGATCTTGATCGGTTGATGTTGTCTATCGTACACTGTAGCCTGCAACGCTGTACCGAATCATTGCATCAATCACAGTGTCTCCACGTGAATCCGGGATCGTAACGGGAGCTACTCGTCTTGTAGTGTTTTACGCTATCACCACCAGGTTCTGATCGTCAGTAGGTGTCTATGAAAAACGCCCCATTACATTTACAGACCATAAATCTCCTACTACTGTAACTTGGATAATCTGCTGAGACGGTTGGACAACTCTTTTACTCTGTCTTAGTGCCTCACCTTTTCAATAAACACTCTGACCCGTAGATACCATGAATTGTTTTGCGGATACTGATATTCTTAACGTTGTTTACTGGGATTTTAAAAGCTGTTTAGTGTGGCTGAATAACTTCTGCAAGTCTTCGGACCAAAAATCCGTGGCAACTCGAACTGCTGCACTTCAGTGCCAAGTTCTATGTTGAATCCAGAGACAGAGGACCAAAAATGGTGACTCACCTTGTAGTCTGTACAATGAAGCTGCTATCTGATAAAAAAATCTCAGAAAGCAACCATTAAACGCCGCTCTCCCCAAAAACTATCGAAGATTTTTCTCAAATTCGAAGTTGCAGTGATCTTTATCGTCAAAACTTTCTCAGCTGAATGGTTTCCTTGACATAGTCATGCAACACCTGGAATATGGCAGTCTTCAGATATGAATTTTCCAATAGCCTATATAGAATGGACAATACTTACATTTTATTAGTTTTTGTCCAAATAGCTATAAACGAACACCGGTCAAAATTCTTCTTTATAGAGCCAGTTAGGAGAATATGCACTACAGATAAATTACAGGAAGAATTTATGATTCTCAAAAACATGTTGAAAGACAACGGTTACCCTCCTCCCACCCCCACCCACCAAAGACTCACTAACAAGTACAGAAGATGTGAAGGCTGAATTACCCAGCAAATCAGAGTGGGAAAACTTCAATTCCCCTCAAATTTACCCGAAACCCGATTTATGTGTTCAGAGGAGAACAGTTATCATCAATATTTCCTTGCCCTGGTAACTGGATGTGTTTATGTTATCTTCCAGTTGATTGTGTAATCTTTGTCTTTTACCTCTCCATCCTTTGATATAGTGTAACTTAGCCTGTCTCTTGTTTCTATGATTCGACTTAGATTCACCGCATTGTTATTCGATGTATTAGTTACCCATCATTTTACTTACTTCTTGTCTTTATTACTTAACTCCTATACTACTGTATGCAAACATTAATTTTGTTTAAATGTAAACTCTTTGAGTGTAGACTATATAAGCGTGATTTTCTGAGAATCGCGTATTAGAATAAAACAAGAACAACAGTAGTTTGTGCAGAATAATATGCTACCATCATGTATTCCGTTGGCTTCTCATCAGCTGCTGCTTACAGCCTAAATAAATTATGAGGTTTATGTACAGAGAAGTTTTAACATACTTGCAAATCTTTTCATGATGTCAGTTGACAGAATGTTCCACAATAAGTGAACAGTGCTCAGAAAATTGCGCTTATGTAGTTGTTACACGAGCAATTCAAGTTCAAACAAGATAAATATACACACACACAACAGTAACGGAGTAACGTAATAAAGACGAGAGATACGTAAGATGCAGAGTGACCAATGAGCTAGGTAACAATGTACTGAGTTCAACCCAAATCATAGAAACAAGAGAAAAGCAAAATTACATTATGTCAAAGAGGTAAGGTTAAAGACAAAGATTACGTAATCAAATGAGAGAATAAAGACATCCAGTCACCAGAGCAACGATAGACTGATAACTGCTTCTTTGTGAACACATAAATCTGGTTTCAACCGTTTGATAGAAATTGCTTCGGCAAACTTGAGGAGAATCGAGCTCCTTTGTCTATTGATAATTTTAAAAGACTTTGCGATTTCCACCTCATGACCCGTATCGAGGAGATGTCTGGTAACAGGACTATTATAAGATTTTGTTCCCTTGACATGTAGGCTTTTCGGTACATGTTTAGAAAATCGTAGGTGTGCCCTTCTTTCTGTTCTCCCAATGTAACTGTCCCCTGAGATACACGTAAATTTGTATACACAGTTGGAGTTGTTAACACGAGAAGGATATCTGTCGACTTTTCACTGCTTACCAAGTTTGGTGTCTCCTGTCATTAACTTAAACTATGTAATTGAACTGAATTTTTTTTTCAGTCGACGGGAAAATCAAAAAAAAATTCAATTCCATAATTAATATGACCCGTTGCACAAGAGGTGGCTCTCGTGGCCCAAGTGGTCTAGTGGATAACGCTTTGGCATTCGAAACTATGGGCACTGGGTTCGAGCCTCAGTAGGAACATCATCACTCACTGAGAAGTGCAGGTACATCCAGCTGACGAGTCCCAAATAGGACGAAATGTGCATCCTGGATTCCACTGCTAGCCACCATCCACCAATTGTATATTAAACTATGTAACATTTACAAGTATACTAGAATCGCTCTGTATATAAACCTAATAATTTCTCTAGGCTGTACTCAGCTGATGAGAAGTCGATGAGATAAGTAATGATACCATGGTATTCTACACAAACTATTATGTTCTTTGCTTTTTTTCAAATATTACATATGCGCATTTACTGAGTATGGAATTCTTTCTACCGAAGAGTCTCTGTCAAATGTGTGTGTGTGTGCGCTGCGCGCACACGTTTAGTAAGTCTCTTTGTCTGTAAAGCACCAAATATGCTCTCAGTTTAGTGCACAACTTAGACCAGCTGTGGATGATGATGACGATTGTAATTCATATTCTATCTCACTGTATGAAAAACAGGTTGAAAATTGGTAATGAATAATGGGTGACAGTAGTTTGCTCTAAATCCTTTTTTGTTAAAAAAAATACCAGGACACCTGTGGATTTTTTTGTTCTATGGTTGGTTAAATGACAGATAGCTAAATAAGTCTAGGTCAAAAAAAAAAAACATTTTCACAACATAAGAGAAATTCAGACTACTTCAATAATTAAATGAGTGCAAACTAATGAATACTGATTTGTGTGTGGGTGGGTGGGTGGGTGGGTGTGAGTGTGCATAAGTGTTGTAGTAATTTTCATCTTATCTACAGATCATTGAGATAAGAAGCATAGATTACTTTATCAAGTATAAAATGGAATATATATGAGAGACAGAATACATCTTATTAAACAAATTATTATTTTTCAAGAGTTGTTGTATTACGGATTTGATTTAGTTTTTCGAGTTTAACTACAGATTGATATCACAATTAAAGAAACATTGGAAACCAGCAGACAGTACTGGACAGCTGTTTCGTCGGCCTAGTTTGGGAATCATCAGCAGGTTACAAGGCAAGCTCGCATACCATTCAGCTAACTAGCAACCGAATCAATGGCCAGGCCATGAATTCTTAATTCTACCGATTCGTGATTTTAGCGCGATCACCAACTAATGTCATCCATTCATCCTCGCTCCCGAACCGGAAGAATCCCCATCGGGCAGGTGTACAAGAAGTGAGACAAATCTTCCTGTGATAATCACAGGGGGATTAGCTTGCCTGATGGCGTATCTGAAGTTCTAGGCTCAATAATCATGCGTAGACTAGGCGGTGCTAGGGAGGAACAAACACGAGAGAACTAGGCAGACTTTAGACCAGGAAGAGGGTGTATTGACTATATCTTTACCCTTTGAAAGATTCTGGACAAGGGTATATTCACCACTGGCATCCAACAATCCCCATATTCCTTGACCTGAAAGAGAATTTCGATCCTCTATAAATTATTTAAATTAACCCCAGCATGTTAAGAAAATCAAAACAAGATCTCTTTTCTGAACGTTTCACTGTGTAAGCCACAGCTTCTTCAGCAGATTTATTCGGATTTTTATTAATCATCAAAACATGTAGTCAAAATTTTTTACATAAATTGAAGTCAGTTTGTTTGAAGGTCATTTGTCCATGGACATTTTTACCAATAGAAATATGTAAGTAGTCATCACATATATTTCAGAAAAATCTTGTTTTGCTTTTCTTAACACGCTGGGATTAATTTAAATAATTTATGATGAGTCAATCTAACTCGGCGCTCAAATTATTCCAGGAAGTTCGTAGCATCTACGGCCTGGGAACTTAGAATTTTGATTCTCTTGGCCGACTGATAGAATTCAGTCTGCACCAAACAAAGGAATAGAAACATCACACTAGTTACTAGTGTCCAATCCAAGTATCCACTACAGTCCTGCAGGAGGTCAATTACAAACCGGAATAGCTCAGTGGTAACGTTTCTGACTGCAGCACTGGGTGACACCGGTTCGAATGTCAAAAGGGACATGAGTCCCTTGAAGATTTCAGATACGCCTTGTTGACGAGTGTCAATCAGCACGAAACCTAGGTCCAAGGTTTCCTACTGATTGCCATTATTAGAGATCAAATTTACTAACTAATAAAGAATAAATCACGTGACAAGAAAGTTTAAATTTCAAGTCAATAGAAATAATCAATAGAGATGTTGCAAATTAACAGTCAGTCACGACAATGGTTTTCAGGAGAGACAATCGTATCACTATCCACGAAGAATTGAGATAAGCTCAATTCATATTAAAGCTTGCACTTAGGATATTGTCTAGGAGGTGGACAACGAAAGCTTCGCTGTTAAATCGCCAACCAGTACAGAGAGGACACAAACTAAAATCATCCACCTGAGATACAAATCTCCTTCAACTATTTCATGAATATTCTATGCTTAATCTTTGTATTTGCATTTGTCTTCTTAACATTTAGATGGCAATTTTCTCTGTATATTAAGTGGAAGATACTCATTTCATTTGCTTTATTGTTGTTGTTTTTATTATCAAACACACACACACAGGCGCATCCACACCCACTACTTTTTTTTCCTTTTACAGTTTCAAAGTTCATGCAATACAAGACTCACAAGTACAAACAATGACATGGTATAAAGATGGTGTTTGGATGTCAATACGACGTGAATCAATTCTTCGGTTATACCATGTAATTAGTCATGAATTAATACAAACTGTTGACTTGAATCAAACAATTATGAGTTTAGTATTATGTAAGTAGTCCTGTTTGCCTTTTTTTAAATTACTTTTTCTAAAAATATTTTCCACTATTGATTTGTATAGATCTTATGTATTTCAAGTTTAATGTTAGAGAATCAATAAAAAAAACACACACAAGGAGTATGATGGAGAACTGTTATGTCGCAATCTGAGACTCTTTAACACGATAAGGATTCACAATCTGAAGACTTTTAGATTAAGATGTCTGTTGTACAGTTCCAAACTGTGATGAAAAAGCACAGCTGTTCAGTACGCCATAGTTTTTGATGGCTCTTTACTTATATGTGTTCTCTCTCCCCACCTCGCATTCTTCAATTTTTTGAATATCATCCCTAGACAACTTCGTATCATTTTGGGGATTTCTAATCAGCCTATATCCGAAGGTGTACTGCATTGTCTTCCAACTGAATTCATCATATTACTATTTATAATTCACAAAAAGTCTTCTGATTCTGCATTTCAATTTTGATTATATTATATTTTTGAGAAGGGTTTTAACCTTTTCGTTCCTTTTCTCATCATACATTAATAACAGGAGTGTGGTTGATTGATGATTGGCTTGAACTTTCAACTATCAGCCTGTTGTTCTTGAGTTCGAGTCCTGCTAAGTGGTCTACCTTAGTCAGTAGGCTAATTAAATTTCCTATCAATCTAAATGTATTGTGTTTACTCCATCTCATATTGTTTTAATTATATAATCATATTTAATGAATCGCAATGTATCCTCAGACACATTTTGAAATCATGGCCACTAATTGGATTCCTATGAATTCCCTGATGGAAATGTAGAAGAAACAAGCATTATGGGTTATTGGAACACTCCTCGGATAAAACGATAAATCAAATGACAAAAATAATTTTGAAACTAATAATAATGATAATATATAAATGAGAAAGAATATAAGGCATCTACAGTTATACTACATAAGGAGGGGACATCTGAGACCCTACGTAGGATTCTCAATAAAGAAGGAATTAATGTGGCATTCAAACCTACACATTCACTCAGAGACAAGCTCTGTAGGCTGAAAGACCCGGTGGACCCAATTAAACAAAATAATATAATTTACAAAATAACCTACAATGACTGTGAGGTCAACTATATAGGTCAAACTAGTAGATCAGGGGTAATCAGATTGTCGGAACATAAGAATTTAGCTAAGGTTAGAATGATTGATCTCACGAAGATAAGTAATTTAGAAAAAAGGTCAGCGATTGCACTGCATACATTAACAAACAACCACACAATAGAGTGGGTGGGAGAGGGTTAAAGTTCTAAGGAGTAATATAGGTAGGTGGAGAGAGAGAGATTGATTGCTGAATCCTGGTTCGTCGAATCTACACTCAACACATGCAATAGAAACGACTCAATGCAAATATCAGAGATATGGAAGATATTATTATTACCAGTCTAATCGGGGAATAATAAATAATCTTAAAATATATTCAATTCACATTATAGCATTTTAACAAGTTACTTAATTTTTACTGTAAAAACATCTTATTTCCCATATGATTGTATTTGATTGGTAACACTCATTTTATTATTTCTGAATTTACTTTATCTTATATTGATTTTTATTCAAATGTCTAATCATCAGTATTTACTCATACATATTAGTGAAGCAAGAAAGTTTTGTGATTGAGTGCCTTGATATATGAGAATGAACAATAATTTGTGCTCGAAACGTGGTCGCATCAGTAAATATTACTGTATAACACTACATTGTGTGATTTTATCAAAATAAAATTTTATCCATAATAGAATTATAACAAAGCAAGAACTACAGTTTTAGCAGAATGAAATGGTACCATCTTTTATTTCGTTGCTTTCTCGTCAGCTGCTTACATGGCGAAGACATTATTAAATATATCTACAACAACAATTTTAACATTCTTGCACAGAGTTAAGTTTAAACAAAAATCAATCGATCAATATACTCAAACACTACAAATATATACATATATAAATATGCAATATTAACCACTATTCCGAACAATAATAATCAAACACAATGGAAACTTTTAGCATGAGTATATTGATCGATTGATTTTTATTTAAACTTAACTCTGTGCAAGAAAGTTAAAATTGTTTTCGTAGATATATTTAATAATGTCTTTGCCATGTAAGCAGCTGACGAGAAGGCAACGAAATAACCGATGATGTTAACACTTTATTCTACTAAAACTGTAGTTCTTGCTTTGTTCAAATTCATTAAGGGGAATAAATGTATGAAATAGAATTATAATCTACCACAGTTGTCCAAGTTTTATCCTTATATCAATAAAACAATATCGCTTCAAGTTGATGTATGATTTTCCTTCCTTGGAATCTGATCACTGTCTATAATAAATAATTTTGACACCCCATGCTCACTTATCGCAATAATAACTTCTGTACAAAAAAAATATCAGTCTGCGTTATCGTAGTAGCCTCCTTCCTCCTGTTTACATTGCACTGAAACTTTTGGAAAGAAACATCTGTAAACATTGCTCCTACATTGATGGTGCGAAGCCTTATTTAAAGGTACAAGGAATTTCTTGGAAACACGGTAGTCAAGTACCAATCGAAAACGTATATTTCTTTTGATCACTTATCTCATACTACTGGATTAGGAGATCTGATTGTACCTAGAGGACTTTGATACCCTAGCTGGCAAACATGTATGACGACAGAATATTCCGTGTATTACTACTACTTCGAGAGAGAGAGAGACTGATATTAATTCCTCTTTTGCCTACATAATACTTTTTCGTACTATTCATCGGCGTAAACCACCACCATCATGCCATGGATCAGCTTTGCTCGTTAAGTATTCCGTAAGTGGTTTACCTTTCACCATGTCATAGTAAACAGAATACTCAGTGAAGACGTTGAGGGATTGAGAATAGCGCTATACCATGAATTGACTGAAGATAAAATCCACAGGTCATTGAATTCCAGCTGAAGTGACTGAATGGTCAACGGACTTGGTCTGGTAGAATGGAGGTCCCAAGTTGGATCCTTGGTGGTAAGGTCGTGGGTGCGCGTTGCTGAAGAGTCTCAAGGCTGGAGGAAATTAGTTGTTTTGGTGCCTCCTGGTGTTCAACAATTCTCTAGCTGGTTTTGGTTCATGACAAAATCTAACAATTTTATAGTAGCGATATTCTCAAAAGTCTTCAATTTCCCACTCTGTTAATTGTCAGTGTTTCAAACTTTTGCAATACAACCTTAGTATTTTGTGCAAACATGTAAGGCGCTTTTGTTTTGAAAATCTTGTTTCATAGGTTGTGTATATGTGTGCGTGTTTCAAAGCTGTTTGTCTCTGGTTTAATACCTTTCCAGTGGAATGAATGTCACCAGACTAGGAAATATGTGATATTCTTTTCCGTAATATCCCATTTATGGGCTGCGACTAGGAAACGATGAGTTGGATGTCTGAGGGTGACATGGAAGCGATCCTGTGAGAAAGAAATGAAATCTTGTTACTACATGGTTGGAGCCAATTGACTGGAAGCCTCAGACCTTGGTGGCGTGCTAGTTGGCATTCACCAGTCAGTAGGGCGTATCTGCAGCCTTGAAGGAACTCATATCCCTTCTGAGATTCGTCAACGTGAAGGCGAGCCACCTAGCATGGTATCTACATTGCAAACTTGACTGATGGAATTCAATCTGCACCAAACAGAGAGGGCTAAACACGTTACACTAGTCGCTGACTAGTATTCAATCAAAAGTATGTAATACAGTCCTACAGGAGATCAGTAGCAAGCCGGATAACTCAGCGGTAACGTCTCTAATTGAGGCACTAGCTGATACGGGTTTGAGTCTTAGAAGAGATATACGTTCCTTCAAGATCGCAGATATGCCTTGCTGACCGGTAAGTATCAACAAGCACGAAGCATAAGTTTGCAGGCTTCCTTCTGATTGCCTCCAACTATCTAATATTAACTATTCATAGTGCACCGTGATGGCCATCCACATAGCATCGGGGCCAAATTTCAAACTTTGCTGGTAGATTTCAGTCTACACCAAACAAACAACTGGACACACTACATTAGCTACCGATTAGTGTTCACTCAAAAAGAAATGAAATCTTGTAGGCTATCATAGGGTCAATTAAAGACAACGGCAGAGAACAGGGTGAAGCAGAGATGTGCCGTTCCACTCGGAGCATAAAAAAATGGTAATAAATAATGATATTTTGATGTCATCACCAAGATGAATCGTATATCGGAGGTCTAATATCCCCTAATCTTGCTTATTTTGATTTGTAACTTAAGTGTTCACATTTTTATTTCTGGTGGGATTATGAGTGCCCGCTGCTGAAACGTCCCAAGTTAGAACGAAACAACTGACCACCTATTATTAATAAGCACTCAATTTCTTAATTAAAAAAATAATGCTTTCTTTTTTATGTAACTACAACATATACTACTTTGTAGAAATAAGTAGCACGATATAGGTCAAATGTTTTATATTTTTTTTAGCTAACTCCAATAAACCAGAATACAGTGACATTTCTTCCAAGGTCAAATCGCCTTCCTTTGCCGTCACCACACTTAAAGCAATGAATGATCGTTTATGGATTGGTACTAGTGTTGGATTAATTGTCACAATTCATTTCCAAGATGGTCTGTTCAACAGAACATTCCAGCGGTCATCATCAGGACGTCAGAAAGGTAAGTAATTGTATCCATAGTGTATATATGGTGCCGAATTAGCTTAAATTTCACAACACTATTTATTACATTGTAATCGTGTTAATGCTGCAAGAATTTGATAGGCGATTTGAGAAAATTTCTGCCTCAGTACAAATTAAATTCTAGACTCAGCAGCAGAGTCATTTTCGGGGCAGCCGGAATCACCTGTTCGGTAGCTTTTGGAGGTTTTGTAGCTCTTCGTCAACAGACTCCTTCTCAGTGTATATTTTTTTGATCCTTGAGGAAAGAGAATAAATCTCCTCAGTGAGTTATCAAAATTTCTTTGCAGTTGACCATCGGGGAGTCTGACTCGATGTTCTACTTCTTGTCACTGAGTCGAAGACTAAATGATCATGATTTACGAGTTTCCATCAATTCGCTTAACTGCACAGTAGTTTAATGGTAATGTATCAGCCTCATAGTCTGAAAGTCGTGGATGTGTGAACCCTGTTGGAGTTATGGGTTCTCACTTCTGTAGAATCTCGAACGTTCACGAAACAGCTATCCAGTTTTCAGTGGTTCTATAAATGGTGTTGATTCGTGACGAGATCCAGCCTAACTTTTAATTATTTGGAAGAATTTGGAAATGTCTCTGGGTATACTGCCAAGGGTAACTAGAAGGTGTTCTCTTCACCTATGCATATACTTAAATATATTCATTTTGCAAATTCGTGCATTATCTTTCGTAGATTGATTGAAGCAAAACTGAATGAAATCTGATTGAGAGAGGATAGTAAGCCTTCGAGTTTGTTAACCATGGGTGACTGATTAATTCAAATCTTGTAGGTAGTTCATGGTATCATTTATAGTATAGTTATTGTTTCCTTTAGTTCCCAGAGGAACATAGGGTTTCAGCCGCATGTCTCCAACTGCCAACTTTTTCACCTGACCCAACGTCTGCCTACATGCTTTCGTCTCCTATTCGCACGACTTCCTCCATGTCGTCGTCGTCGTCGTCGCACTGATGACGATCAACTCGCCTCTTCCTATTCGGGTTCCACTCGAGCAGTGGCCTGACGTGTGACAGCTTTCACTTAATGATGGTTTGTTTTCTCAGAATATGGCCAACCAATCCGCCTGCATTTCTTCCTACATATTTGTTGCACAATTGGTTCCTGCTGAGTTGATTCGTCCATTGCCAAAGATCCCTCTCTCCTTGTTGCTGATCTTTTCTGGCCGGCCATGTGTGATGTTGAGTAGTAATGAGTGAAGACGTGTTGTTTAGTTTGTTCGAAGTGCCCTTCACTGTATCATTTATTGAGTGTTAATTCCCAGTGTATTACTGGATTTGCTGTCTACATTTACGATAGCTGATCGACTGACTGTCTGACTGAATTTCAACATAGAAGTGTGCACAGAAGGCTAGTAGTGCAAGCTACCACACTACATTTAGCACACATCGACTTAGAGAAGAAAATGTATTCCAAAATAATGATAATAAAAATAATTTGCCTTATTCCAAAACAGCACTAGTGATACAGAATGGAATTCTCAGCATTTTACTACAGTATTGCATCCAGTTAGTACATTTCCAATAAATAAAATTCTACATAGATTAAGGAAATCTCAGTTCATTATGACAGCAACATATTGGCATGTCGGTAGCAAAGCCAAAAATTGAACAGAGTGTTTGAAGGTGTTAAAAAAGTAGATGGTAGCATATTTACTGGCATAAGCGGAAGGAAGAAACAAAGCAGCACATAACAGAGAAAAAAAGAGAGAGAGAAAAGGAAAAGAAAGAAAGAAAACTTATCTATAAATAATATGAGTTGGGAAGACGAGATCCAGTTGTTCTACTGGCTATTTAATAAGTTATAGGTATCACGCCTAATGCTTTCTTTATCCCACAGAACACGAGCTAAGTAGGGTATGGTTGAGTTTTTGTACTTTCTAGTGAGAGCATATAGTTTCGTATATAGGCTTCTGGTTTTCCCTGATGAGATACAAGGGGAGAGTTGTGAATGAAAAGGGTGGTCAGAGTTAGATGAAATGGATTTAACCCATTTTTCACATGAGTCCATGTTCCTGTCGACCAGAATATTAACGAGCTGGTTAAGTGGCACGTTGCTTACCCTGCTGACAACCTTTAACATCCTATGTAATAAGATATAGTCTTTCTTCAGTAGCCGGCCCAGGAAAAACTAAGGGGGAACATAAGAGAATAATAGGCAGAATGCGAGAGTTAACGAATTGTAGGAGCAAGGGTTGGGTTATTCCGGAGTGTCTTAACTTCTTGATGTAGAAGGTAAGATGGAATATTTTCTTAGAAATCATCAAGATATGAGATGACCAGGAAAGATCAGCAGATAGAATGACGCCTAGGTATTTAATTTCCGACTTGGTTTCTATTTCAGTGCCATCTATGTTGCACACCTCGTGTTTGCTAACCAGTTTGTTTAGGTCAGATTTATGCCTAAAGGTGAAATTGACTGTTTGGCATTTGGATGGGTTTAAGGTAAGATCTTTTTCCTTGAACTAACGAACTATGATGAGCAGGAATTTACGGGAGAAAGAATGGTAACATGGAGAAACAATCAGGTTTAATCGATATGATAGGTAGATGACGAAGAGTGAACGCACCTGCACCACTGAGGACGATTTTGTGCCATATTGTGGCGTATGCTACTGATAAGATTTATCAGTAGTATATCTATATAAAGAGATGGTCATCGGCAATAAAACATCAAATAGCACGCAGACAGACAGATTTGATGTCAGTGAAAACAAATCATACAGCCTTGCGGAGATACATGGGAGACGTGAAAGACACACAAAGAAACACACTATATGAGGGAAGGCTAGAAGTTGCACAACACAGAAGATCTGTGCAAATGATGCAGCGTTGAAGACAAGGTGTACATAATTTGGCCACATAGAGATACCTATAGCAAATCTTTGTCTTCTACCGTTGCTATATCACTAACTACCTGAGGACCCCGACCAAGCAGTCTAGTTAGCTCAAACTAGAGGTTACCCCTAACCCTCTTACAACCTGATCCGATGTCAGCCAACATATCTCCAAGAGAGGAAGGTTATAACTTGGCATGTATAACTCATGTCTAAGCTGTCTCAACCAGTATATCTTCACAACCCCAATGATTGACTTTTCATTCTTACCTGACACTTATCCTGGTCCCAATATTCCTCACCATATTATGCCACCTAGCACAGGAGATAGAACGCAAGCATCTTTGGTCAAAGACACTTAGCCTTTTCATATACCTCATTTTCAGTGGCAATGACACACAGCCATAAAGAAATGTGGGGCGAACTTGTGCGTAGAACATATACGTCCTTTGACCGATAGCCGGATATCATGTCTACATCAGAGGCGAGAATATGGCTACTTTTACGATCCAGCATATCCGTTTCTTCTATTCTATACGAGTTGTTTTTTTAATTTATTTGCACACATTTTCATTTATATGTATCTATTATGCGTGAATGAGTAGCAGTTTGATTCAATTTACCATTCATCAATGTATACTAATTTTTTCTCCCTGTTTTCATTTTCTCCATCTACAAAACTGTCGTCACATTTGAAAAAAAAATTAAAAAACAAATACAAAATGGATAGACTCAATCAATTTGTCAAAACGTATTTGTAAAGCTATTCTGGATTGTTCATTAGTACAGGTAAGGTGTAGTGTCTTCTTTCTTTTTTCCTACCTCATATTCTGTGAAGATTGCAAAAAGTTAATTTTAAAATGAACACAAGTTTATATTTATTCATCTCATTAAAATGAATTTAAGACAGGAATTCATATCACAATTGATAGAATATAGAGTAGGTGTTATATGTAACTATAGACTAGATAGAAAGTCTTGTCAATCAGAATTTAAATTTATACGAATATTGATCTCTTTGTAGGTTGGTCAGATAACCAACCAATCAGCTTTAAGCATATCTGTAGACGCGCCTAAACATAAACCAGATAACAGCCAATCAGATTCATCACGTTTTTGTATGACGATTGTAATTATATATTTGTAATTACAGTACTTCTCACTCACCCACACCTTATGAGTATTAACGTTTGAGTCTTCTTGAGAATTACCAGTTCGGGTCAGGGAAAGTCTACTAGGAGAAAACTATCAAATGTTTATTAATGTTAACCTCATTCGTTTGAAGGTCAGAGGCAAGACTCCACATTTCACGAGACTGAATAATGAAAAAAAAACATCCTACGTAGAATAAAATATCTGAAGCATCTGTGTGATCGACCATTGCCACATCAATGTCCTTAATAAGGTTTCAGGTGTACGTCGACCCGAGATGTGATTGTTCACTGGATTAAACTATCCTACGCATTCGACTGATCGCCATATTTCAGCTAAGCTTAACATAGGGGAACAGCATACTAGTAGTGATTGTTAGTTTGCCAAAAACCTGAACAAAGTAACTTACGTCAATATAAATAGCTCAGACAAACTGTCAATAACCTCATGAATTATTATTATTATGTTTCAGTCTAACCACTTGTAACTCAGACAGTATTATGCACCGATGAAATCAATAGCTGTGCAGAATAGTAAGGATCTGTAGGTGAAAACTTAGCATTAGCATGGCATATATTCCATTCCTTTCTGCACTTTAGATGAATTTGTTCTCCTTAATATTTTTTTGGACTCTTCACTACTACATGCTGTTTTCACTAGATTTCTCTTCTAAAACTGTCTTCTTTCTAAGCGACTTAGAGGACCACTTAGATTGAACTGATAAACCTATGGGATTTGTCCATTTTCTCAGATAGACTGTGATAGCAATATTCAGACCTGAGGGTCCTAAGTTACACATGGAGCTTTAGTAACACATCTTCATTGTATTCTGTCATCTCAGTTGGCTCTACAATTGCCTACAAGCCCTCATTGCCTCTTCACACGATCTACTCCATGTGTGCATAAGTTGTCGCTTCGCATTCGGCTTCCACTGAAGGGTCTTACTAGTTAATTGAAAATCTTCTCAGCATTTGCCCAATTCTTCTGCATATTTCTTGGGTGATAATTTGATAGTTTACTAGCGAATCCTTAGCAGGGAAAGATGAAAGATTGGGCATTGAATTAGCGATCTCGCCTCCGGAAAGTTAGTCCAGTCCGTAGCTTTGGAAACTTCAAGTCACAGGAAAAATATAGATATAAAAATAAACGTATTGATCTTAATGTACTCGTCGTCATGGTGATTGAAGATATTCAGATGTTGGTTTGCAGTAGGAAGGCGTGACCATTGATGTACAGCAAGTCGGTTGTGATGACATACACTCGCCAGCGATGACATTGGCTAGTGGCCGTCGCGCTATATCGTGAATTGGTAGAACTTGGAATTCATGGACTGGCCATTCATTGCATAGGGTTCCAATAGCTCAATGGTCTACGAGTTCGCCGTTTAACTACAAGACCTTGTGGATGGACGAAACAACTGTCCAGTACTCCCTGCTGTTTTTTCCAATGGTTCTCTGACCGATGTCAGCTCATGATTGAAATCTTCTAACCAATTAAAGATATATATTATCGTTTTTCGTCTTTTCAGATAAGTGTACATCAGCATACAACGCCGGTGAGATTTTTTGTTTCACCAACCGTTGTACAACAACATAATGAAGATAGCGCGAATATACAGTCCAATTGTAAATCGCTCATGCCTTATGAAAAATCATCTGCGTCTCAGAAATCATCTGACCCGCCCACATCTAATAAGCATAAGAAGAAAATGGAAAGATCAAGCGTGTTTATCGTTTCCGGTGCTGAAGGTCACGTGATTAGTAATCAAAAAGATGGTAAGTTTTTCTGATTTAAGATTTGTTATGATTATTGCTATGATTATTTTATCAAGTAACTGATCTAGAATAACACATGTAAACGTGAACGATATTGTGTTCAATTAGATCTCATCAGGCTCAACTCTAATATACCTACATAACTTCACAAATATATCTAGTTAAAACATCATTCGAAAACCAGCACTACAGTACTGGACAGCTGTTCCGTCCTAGTTTGGGACTCTTCACTAGCACGCAACCATCCCAGAGGTTTCGAACCCAGGACCTTCTGGTTACAAGGCCAGCCAGCTCGTAAACCATTAGGCCACCGGGACTCGATTCAATGGCCAGTCCATGAATTCTAACTTCTGCCAATTCACGACATAGCATGACCACTTCCCAATGTCTTCTTCGATGAGTTACTGCCTCACCTTCAACCTGCTGTACCCTACTGGTCATGGCTTTCCACTAGAACCCGAGGTAATCGCTTGAATAGGGCCAGTCACTAGTGAGCATCAGGTTAATTTTCAAGTATTGGTTTTGTAGGGAATTTTGTTTGATTGCCACCGATGAGGAGTCCCGAACTGGGAAGAAACAGCTGTCCAGTACTCCCTGCAGGTTTCCCAATGGTTCTCTAACTGATGTCAGCTCATGATGAAATCTTCCAACCAATCAAACAAAATCCTCTACAAAATCGAATACTTGAAAATCTAGTTAAATATAAACCATTCATGGTGATTTGTTAATAGGATGATAAGATTGTGCATATAAATTGTGCAACTAGTCATGATAGTATTAAGAAAGACGAAAAAGTAAAGCGATTTGTGATTACAAGAATGACAAAAAAACAGCATGATTAAACAAATAAATGTTTAGGTAGAAGTAGTCAATATAGGCTGGGAAAAATAAATAGTCCGATTAAGTAATATCAGATTGTAAGGAAAGTAAATAAACTGTGTCATAATGAGATAGATTGAAAATATAAGCAAAGGCGCGTGGTGGTGACATCATTAGTTGGTTTAGTTTTCATAGGCCAAATGAGGGATAATGCCTGTCGCCTCAGCTGTATATCCAGTAGACGAAAATGGTGTCCATTTGAAAGATTCTGTGAGGAGGCAATGAATTACCGTGATCTACAGGAAAAAACTATAACCACAGCTGTTCGCTGTGACACTTGGGTTTTATCTACGATGGCTGTATCATGGGGCCTTTTGTACATTCTACTAAAACGTCCCCAACGAGAACAAAGTAGTTGTTGTTCATGTTTTTATCGATACATGACAAAGCCGGAAATGCTGGCAAGATTTAGTTCTTCAAGAGAAGGAAGTTATTTTTACCCATAATAGAGGTGTTTTAATGCTTTCTTATATGAGCGACACTTTGCTGCTATTGATTGTGCATGGTGATATGGGAGATGGTCGCCAAACATAATTTATATCTATGAGGGAATTTGATATTTGAACAGCAGCAATCAGTAAATAATCGAAGTTGTTCCGTGATAATTATGCTGTGATCTTTCGTATCACTAATCGGTCGTAATAAAAGGTAGATATAGAATATAATATTCAACAGCTGTCTTTTATGGTGTTAGATTAATTATGGATCAATATAAATGACCTTGAGAAGTAGTTCCTTAGCTTGAGCAGTCGACTTTCAGTCATTGTGTCCAGGGTTCAACTCGACCTACCTCAGTCTGGCCAACTGAGTATAATCAGCGATCTTCATATATTGTGTATAAGTCATAGCCTGTTCCAGGTACCTGAGTCCTAACTAGAGAGCATTTACAGAACCACTAAGAAACTAATTAGCACATGATGGTTATTTATTTCTAAATTGAAACTTTTCAACAACCACAACTCACAATCTTATCAGGAATGTAGCTCAGAACCATCAAGTTACGATGAGACCGCCTTAAAATCTATCCGAGGACTAAAATGTATAACACCACGCAAGTGGTATCAGAAATTGACTGTCTTTACAGCAAACCAGCCAGTTCACTTCTACATATCATGACTTGAAAGCTTGTCACTAACTTTTGTCTTTTCATAGACTTGATTGATTTAAAGGTAAATTTTTTTTCCTTGAGGAGGATGTCATCCAGAAAAAATTGAGCAACACTGAATGGTTGTGTCATCCTTGTTAATTCCATATTAGTTTGTTTATTAGATGTATCACACAGTGATGAAACAGTATTATTTACTGGATGTCTCTGTCTGGTCTCTGTCTGGATTCAACATAGAACTTGGCACCGAAGTGCAGCAGTTCGAGTTGCCACGTTCCAAATAGCACACAGAGGTAGACAAGAAGATGAGTGAAGAGAATCAATAGAGTTTGACAAGTATAAGAGTGAAACAGAATGGGTAATGGTAGAAAGGAATATGAAAGATTACAGAGACTGAATACATCTGCGCCCATTGACAACGATTTTGAGCCATGTCACCTATTGTCTCCAGCCATTGATTCCTAGAGTCCCGAGGGCCCCAACCCGGGAGTCTGCATCTCCCTACCTGACTCAGTTTAACTGTCAAGGATTTCATGGATTGATGCCATGTTTTTGTTTGGCCACCACTGGCTCTTTTCCAACCTGAACCTATATCAGCTAGCAATGCCCGTCGGGGGAGGCGGTGGTTAGGCATGCGCAGCACGTGACCTAGCCATCTTAGTCTATGTAACTTTATAGCCTCGTCGATTGATTTTCCCTCTTTGCCCAACACTCTACGCCTAACGTCAACATTACTTACCTTATTAAACCACCTAACGTGAGACAGAGATCGCAGACATCTATGATCGAAAGCAGTCAACCTTTTCATGTCTTCAACGCGTATTGGCCATGTTTCAGAGCCATAGAGAAGGACGGAGCGAACTGATGAGCAGTACACACGTCCCTTGGTTGATAACCGGATGTCACGCCTACGCCAGAGATGGTGTAAGTCAGCGAAAGCAGCTCGAGCTTTTCGGATCCGTGCTGAGATTTCATCGCCAATCAGTCCGTTGGTGCTAATACAACTTCCCAAGTAGGTGAAGTGGTCAACATGTTCTATCACTTCACTCCCTATCACTAAGTTAGGGGTTGACGTCGTCCAGTCCTGTAGCAGCATCTTACATTTTGCAGGGGCGAATCGCATGCCAAACATACGAAGATTGCTGCTCAAGGTGTTCAGAAGACTCTGCATTTTGTCAGCATCCTCCCCTAACAGGACTATGTCATCTGCATATTCTAAGTCCATTAGATTATTCCCTGGTAACAAGTCGATTCCTAAGTCACTACGTTCAGTTAAGGATACTTCCATTAGCATATCTATGATGAAGTTAAACAGAAATGGGGAAAGTGGACATCCCTGTCGGACACCACTGGTTGTTACAATTCAGATGACAATTCCCCATAAGCCCTTACACGACTACGTGAGTTTGAATAGAGTGCCTTGATTAGTGCAATGTACTTTCTTGGCACTCCCTTCACAGTCAGACATTGCCATAGTACCTTTCGATCCACGGAGTCGAAGGCCGCCTTCAAGTCAAGAAATATGACAATTGTTGGACGCCGAAAAGTGTGTCTATGTTCTAGAATCTGTCGAAGAGTGAAGATATGATCTATGCACCCTCTACCTGGTCTAAAGCCTGCTTGATTTTCCCTTGTCTGTTCCTCCCGAGTTCTGCTTAGTCTATGCATGATTACTGAGCCTAGGATTTTAGAGACTATGTTCGTTAGGCTGATCCCCCTATGATTATCACACGAGGACTTGTTTCCCTTCTTGAATATCGGTATAATAAGTGACTTACCCCAGTCTGATGGTACTGTCTCTGATTCCCAGACTTTGCCTAGTACCTCAGTTAATCTACAAACTAGTATGTCACCCCCATATTTAAACACCTCCGGAATAATTCCGTCGGGTCCTGCCGCTTTGCCTCGTTTCAAATTACTGATAGCTTTTGTAACCTCACTTACAGACGGCGGACCAGTGTCTATATCCCATTCGGGTGTGTTGGATGGCGGGGAGGTTCAGTGTGGCTGTAGGCAAGTTAAATTGTTCCTCAAAGTGTTCTTTCCAGCGTTCAAGGCGTCTATCCTGAGAGCTAATTAAGGAGCCATTTTTCTCAGAAATAGTCTCACTTATGAATTGCCTTCTCCCCCGATTCTGTGATGAGTCTAAAGAGTTGCCTAGTGTTGCCTATCGCCGATGCTTTTTCCATCTCTTTGCCTTTGTCACCCACCACTGTTCACGGTCCTTGCGGAGACTTTTAGTAAGTTTCCTTTTGTGCAGCTTTCGCTCCTCATTGAATTCGGAGCTCGCCGGAATAAGTCTTCTAGCATCTATCAGTTCGGATGAGGCAGTCGAAATCCAGTGGTTTTTACTCACCTTTGGATTTGCCTTATTCACAGCTTTTACAGCTGTATCTATAGCTGACTGAATATTCTACCAGGCTTCTCCAGGGTGACAAGGTTTCGAACAAAATTTATTGTTCACAATCATAACATCAACTATAATCACACAACTTCGAAACTTGAGTTTTGCAGTTTTCTGTGTTCTCTCCTATCTATCGCAGGGTAGTAGAATTTTCCAGATGTCTGTTATCAGTCTCTCCCTCCACCCTGTGACATTAGATTTTAAAACTGTCATCCTATCCCATCCTGTTGTATGGCTGTGTGTAACTGCACGTAGTTAGTGCTTTAGCTGAACTATTCTCTAGATTTCTCATCTTATTTGGGTCAACCAGTCTAGATTTTGCTAGGTTTTTATATTCAGCTAGTCTGACTGCCCTGTTCTACTAGTTTGACCTATGTATTTGACCTGACAATCATTGTAGACAGGGTATTAGATAAAGTAAATTGTTTTGTTTTAAAGTCTCCGCAGGATCCTTTAACCGAAAAATCTTGTTTCTAATTGATTTTGTTGCAGTCAGACTAGCCGAGCACAAAATTCTAGCAAAATCTAGATTAGTTGACCCGATTAAGATAAGAAATCTAGAGAATAGTTCAGCTGTAGCACTCACTGCATGGAATTACACACAACCACACAATAGTATGGGATAGGATGACAGTTTTAAAACCTAATGTCACAGGGTTGAGGGAGAGATTGATAACAACGGAAGCTTTGTTTATCGAATCAACTGCAAATACATGTAATAGGAATGATTCAATATCTGTCCACCCAGATATCTGGAAAATCCTACTACGCCTACGACAAATAGGGGAAGACAAAGAAAACTATAAAACTCAAGTTTCGAAGTTGTGTGATTATGATTGATGAAATGATTATGATCCACAATAAATTTTGTTCGAAACCTTGTCATCCAGTAAATAATACTGTTTCATCACTGTTTGATACATCTAATAAACAAACTAATATGGAATTACTTACTACCACAGTGCCCAAGTTTTACACAAATAATAATCATCCTCGAATTTGTACCTACTTTCAAGCATCCTGCATTGATCATGTGATTTTGAATAGACCTTACTTTAAAACTTAAGTATACATAGTTTGTAGTAAAGGAGTCTGTCTATTGGAGTTCACAAGGTCTTTGCAACAAGGCATGCACGTTTAAGATAATCATCGTTTTTTTTCTAGGAAAGTAAGATAACAAAATTTTTTGAATAATCACCCATAAAACTTAAAGCTGGCAATAATATTTCGAGCAAGAAACTGTATATTGCTGATTGATTGAAATCTTAGTGATTGTGTGCTACTCATATCCAGATCGAATTAATAGGGTCAAGATGAGATGAGTGCTCCGGTAACTTAGTTGGTTAGAACGCTGTACATATAATGCGGTGGTCGAGAGTTCGAGCCCCTGTTGGAGCATGGATTTTAGTCAGCGAATCTATCCTGACTGCACTTCCCAAAATTGTTGGGTGTCAACCTGTCTGCATGTATCTGTGTACCTGTGTGTTTCGCACTTCTCAGGTGTGTGTATCGAGCTGAGTCGAATCGGTTACACTGCTGATGAGTTTGACTCCAAACAAGCGAAACTGCCCTTCTGTGTTTGAATCACTTCGAACTGGTTAGTAGTACGCAAGTACTCATCTCAATCAATAAGTACTTTACGGTTGCATGCCATTATGCTTGGCTTTGTTGATTGTCACTTATGGTGTCAAGCAAATCGCATAAGATTTTGATCTGAATAACTTTGGTGAAATGTTGTGGAATTTCACCTCGAACTGTAAGAATTGCGAATTAATTTGAAAATTTGATTTATGGAATTACCATTTCTCGCATGTAGACAGTCAGAAATCAGGTTGCCTGAACTTATCGGGCTCTTTGAGCTGAGTGGAATCTAACACACACTGCTAATGAATGACCACAGTCCCAAAAAGGGGCGAAGCAAGCTGTCCGTTGTTTCGACTGCTTCTATGGTGAGAGGTATCTGCTATCCGAAATCGGTAGACAGCAATTTACGTCAATGTTTACGTCCCAAATCATGGTCATAAGAAAAAAAACAGGAACAAAGACTAATTTAACAACCAATCACAGCAGACTTAACGTGTCCTGATACGATTCTCAGGTATAAGACCGGACTGTCTAAGAAACAGCCACAAAGAGATGACAGAATAACCTTCATCAGGAAAACAACCAATCAAAAGACGTTACTTCTCTGCCAAGAGTAACGAATAATAATTTGCATAAAAATCCATAAATATTTGTCGATTTTCTGAAAAAACGATCTGTTGCCTGGCCCTTGTCTTCTGTCGTTACGCTTCTATCTAGCTAGCAACCATTCTACTAGTTGATATGAGTACTATAAAACTATGTGGTGAGAGCAGGTGGCTAGCCAATTGGTAGACATCAATCTACGTCAATGTCTAGGTGACTAATATGGGCCGTGAGAAAATATGAACAAGGCTGATTCAACAACCAACACAGCAGACTTAACGTGGGCAAATATGATTCGCAGATAGATGGCTCCATTTTCCGAGGTTACCCAAAACCACCAATCAGAATACTGCGTTTGTCTGCTCAACTTCCGGGAAACAACCAATCAGAAGACTGTGTTTGTCTACTTGAATAAGCTATAATAATGTACAGGAAATATATACAAATACGTGTTGATTTCCGTAATAAAACGATCTGTTGCCGGCCCTTGTCTTCTGTTGTTACAACTACATCTTCTTCTTAATCAAGTAGATCATATATATCTGAATTATCATCTCGGTTTCCAAGGGAGGAATCTGTGATAAACTTTCACCTCGTCAAATTGTATATGTTAAGCATATTTTATAGTATGGGTTTTGTAGGGATTTTGTTTGATTGCATGGAGGATTTCATCATGAGCTGAGCTGACACAAGTCAGAGAACCACTGGAAAACCTGGGAGTACTGAATAGCTGTTTCGTCCTAGTTTGGGACTCTTCATCAGTACACACACACCGACAGGGTTCGAACCCAAGACCTTCTGGTTACAAGGCTAGTCCATAGACCATTGAGCCACTGGGATGAAATCCTCTATGCAATCATATTTTATAGCTCAACACTTTCATCATTCCTACTCTTAAAGAATTGAAGGATTTCTCTAATTCATTGTTTTTATTAATTTTTGCGATTCTTTTGTTTTTCACAGATTCAAGAAACAAGTCGAATAAAGGATCCACAGATCAGAATAGTTTAGATCAAAGTCATTTAATTCTATGGAAATTGTAAATCATTATAGCAGCTTTATCATTATTATCACTAATATTATTACTATTATTATCAATAACACACCTCCTATGTGTAATATGTACAAATTTCGCTTTGTAGTAATAGTTTCAGTAGTAGTAGTAGTAGTAGTACTAGCCCCCTCTTCTTCTTCTTTGTCTTTACTCCACTATTTAAAGTGTAAGAATGTACAATTCAGTCATCTCTTTAAAACATAATATCCTTTCTTATATTTTCCATTCATTCGTTCATTCACATTCACTGATTGGATTGGATTGGATTGTATAAATCTAGCCGTTGAGATACTATTAATAAAACTACTGATAATACTTTGGGACAACCTGACTTTACTTCAATTACTGTCTTGATTCTCTCCTCTTCAACTGTGTTATTTCAACTGAAGATGATCACTTGTGTATAAAGTATTCTTCTTGTTGAATGTTTGCCTGACCATAAAGGCTGACACTCACACACAAAAATGATCATGTTCGCCACATTTGTAAATAATAATAATGATAATAATAATAATAATAGTAATAGTAGTAATGGTAATGAATATTACCCTTTACTAACTTATCTTCATTGTATTTTCTAGCCTACTCATTGTTTTTTCTAAAATAAATCAGTTAATATCACACAATTTTTATTTTATTTATAGTAATCATTTTTGAAACAAAACAAATATAAGCTGAATTCTTTATTTCTTTGTCTTTCTTATTGATGAATATGGATGTATTCCACAGAATTGGGATTTATTCCTGTTTGTAAGCAATAGGAGATGACAGCTACTCTGAGCCCACCATCTCACATAGGTCACTTTGTATGGATTCGATTGTTCCAGTTATGATTTACTGTCACTGATGATTTATAGTGTGTCGGTGGCACAGTGGTTAGCACGCCCGGCCGACGCACTCCTTTACCCCGCTAAGTCAGTAATAACACTGGTAAAGAGAGATTTTTGGACACGAGGCAGGCTAGCAACCCCATCCCGTAAAAGCACACACCGCTACTATTAAAACTTCAAGCCTCTAGCTTGAAGCCCTATATTCCACTAGGAACTTAAAGGAAAAAAAAATCAGTATCACATTTTTATGTGTCATTATTTACCTTGATCAACGTGAATAATTCATGGGGAAATTCTCATTGGCACATATATAGAAAATCAAAATAAGCGATTCAATGAAAAGTCTGTTCTCAACGAATTTTTTTCGATTTGTGTGTGAGTTGTATTTTATAAAATGGGTGATTAAGACATTACACAATAAGGTGATAATTACTGTTATTATTAATGTTCTTTTGCGGTTTCAAGTGGAACATAGAGCTTCTACCATCCTCTTCAGTTTGTCCCATGATTGCTCATAATCTCTCATCTCTCCTCCTCACCACACGATCTCTTCCATGTCATCGTCGGACTCCCCACTGTTCGTTTGGCATTCACCTCCCACTCAAGGTTATGCCTTGGGCACGATACCATTCGACGACGTCCTCAGTGTGTGTACGATCCATCTCCATTTTCTCTTGCGTTGAGCAGAATACTTTGTTGTTAATTCTCTCTGTCTGGCTATTTGATCTACAGTATAGATCCAGTGAAGCGGGTAGCTGTTGATAAAAGTCTGCAACCTGTTGGAAGTGTTTTGTGCAGCGCGAAGGCAACGTTTCTAATGCATACAGAAGAACTGAATGACTTCACATTTGTATTGAAAATCAGAATTTTGTTCTTCATGCTGCGCGGAGTGCAGAAGATTTCCATACTGAATTCAAAGTGATGAAGGTCTTCCTTACCTTCCAGACTGTGGCTATGATATACTCTTCTGTGCCACCCTCCTGGAGTTGAAACGATACTTTCTAGATAAGTGAAGGAAGTAACCTCGTTCAAATTTCTTCCATTGACAGTGATTGGTGTTGCTTCACCTTGGTTAGCTGGTTATCTTGATCACCTCCGTCTTTTCTTTATACACTTGAAGTTCTGTCTTTGTTGTCAGCTTCTTCTACCAGTTTTCCAGTCTTCTCCAGTAGCTTTTCGAGTTTTTGTGGCATTAGAGATATGTTATTTGCGAAACCTGGAGTCTTCTTATCGGTCTAGTGTATTTCTGTCTTCTTGCTCCCAATGCATTTGTCATTCGCATAATCCAGCCCACTACAATTAGGATTGTCATTTTGGGTGATAGCAGTCAGCCTTACCTTACTCCTGTCTTGACTTCAGATGCTTCGTTGAGTTTCCCTTCTTGGATCAAGGTGATAAATATAAGACAACATCCCAAAAAAATTACATTGAAATAAATAAATAAACGAGAGTGACAAGTGAAATAATAGTGGGAACTGCTCAACAATAATAATCAAAACTGAAGGGTTTTCAAACTGAATAAACAAGTCGGAAAATAAGTGGATCCGAAGTAAGAATGGGGATTATAATAACTTAGCAATAGGAGGATTCAAATCATGAAAGCAGGAGTGGTTGAACAAGCGCTTCCTGTATAGAAGGGTCTCGCTCCTCTATTTCGATGATCAACGCTTCAACAATACAGATGAATTGGATATCTAATGATTTGCGTAGGTTATTTTTTGCTTTATAGATAACTTTATGAGAAGAGCTTGCAGAAATAAGGTGACCACTATTGACCGGCAACTTGTTATTAGCCCCACCTTCACCTCTTTTCAATCCCCACGGGATTGTATTCTTGCACCCAAACCCGCGTGTTAAATCACCGATATATCTAGCTCCACGAAAGCAGGTGAATTCATCAACTAGGGGTCTTGTTCTTTAGGTTAGTGAACAGTAATGATTGACTAGCAAAGGCTATTCTCAGTAATGCTGCGGCGAGTATTCTTTCCAAGGACTGTAAGATCCTTCTTTTAAGGATATCGGCAGCTAAGTCAACTTTGAATTCAAGGTTCATGTTCAGTAATTTGCTGGTTACAGAGATTAAATCATATTTCATACGTTTTAACTGTATATGTTCTTGTCCATAAAACGTGGCGAATACTCATTTTCCGTTAGGATCCTCATGTAAGAATTCCCTTTTTATAAATTTGAGCAAAGAAAGAGCCAACATTGGTGCAGAATAATATGGATCCATTTCATTCCGTTGGTTCTCATCAGCTACATAGGACCCATAATCTCAAATTTAACATACTGTTGTCATCAACAAGTATATGATAATGTGGTGAGGGCTGACTGCTAGCCAAAATTGGTAGACAGCAATTTACGTCAATGTGTACGTCCCCAATATTGGTCGTGAGAAAAGTAAGAACAAAGACTGACTCAACAACCACTCACAGAAGACTTTGCGTAGGCGGATGCAATTTGCAGACACATAATCTGAACTTCAAGAAACGGCTACAAAGAGGTGAAAAATTAACGTTCAGAGAGAAACAACCAATCAGAAGACGCTGTTTCTCTGCTAACAATATCCTATAATGATGTATATGGAGATGTATAAATATGTGATGATTTCCTAAATAAACCATCTGTTGCCTGGCCCTTGTGTTCTGTTGTTACAATAAGAGTGTCGTGGTGAGGCAAAACATCAGAATGACAAGGTAGTGAGTGAGTATATGTATATATATATCTTGTTAGAGAAAAGTTTCTAGAAAATCAATTGACAAGTCTGTTGTTAAGGTGGTAACAAAAAATTATTTAACAATTGCATAGTTAGATAAGAGAAGATCAAAATTTGGTGTGCAGGAGGTCAGATGCCAAGGTCATGATGTAATATCATGAGGTCAAGAAGAACTATCGCTTGTCGAAGTCCAAAGAAGAAAAAAAAGGTTTGAGAGGATAAGTCAATGAAATTAATTTTCAAGAGTCGGTTTGTAAGGATTAGATTTGTGTTTTGCGAGTTTGTCCATGGATTGATATCAGTTAGAGAATCATTGAAAACCAGTACTGGAGTCCTGAGCACAAAGTATCGTTTAAGCTATGGATATCATACTTTACTCAGACGGACTTCGAAGAATGGACTAACAAGGAGAGTTGATCACTGACATTTAAAGTTATATAGAATCAGTGAAGTAAAGTCATATCGTTTCATCCCATTCATTCGATCTGTCACTATTTTGTCAAAATTTACCAGTGGTACTGCTACTATCAACTCTTATTCTCATCGTGAAACAATTAAAGTGCTTATAAAGGTTAATTGGAGAACCACTGAAAACCATCAGGTAGTGCTGAACAACTGCTTCGTCGGCCTAGTTTGTGGATCATTGGAAGTACGTACCCACAGTCAGGGTTCAATCCAGAACCTTCTGGTTACAAGGTAAGCCCGTAGACCATTTAGCCACTGGGACCCGATCCAATGGCCAGACCATGAATTCTTGGATTTGGTTTTATCAATCACTTCAGTATATATGGGTCAAATACATCAAATGAAGTAAAGTCCTATTTAAAAAAATCCATAATCAAGGGATACTAGCCAGTGCTAACCACCTTGATATCACCCTGAGGCATAATGATTAACGTTTCCTCAACTTTTTATAAACAATTATTGGACTATTATCTCTCCCGAGTTATTATTATTGAGTAGCTTCCAAATCTATTTTTCACTAAGTATTTCGCCCTTTTTAGAGGAATATTATAAAGAGCCTTTATATTTATGGCTTATATTGATGATGAATCCAACCTGAAAACCTCGGGCAAATGGTCTAAATAGTAGTTATGGGATTGTGTCAACAAAGAGCATCTTTAATATATTTGCCAAAAAACCCTTATTAACATTATTATTGTTATTATTCTCTTGGGTTTTTAATGCAAAGTAGGACATCAGCAGCACGTTATCATTTTGTTAGGGACAGAAGACGAGGGTCACACAACAGGTTGTCTATTCAGAAAATCAATATATATATTTATAGATTTTTATGTACATTATTATTCGTTATTGTTAGCAGACAATCAAGGTCTTCTGATTAGTTGTTTTCTTGCTGAAAATTATTCTTTACTGCTTGTGACCGTTTCTAAGATAGTTAAACAATACATCTGCGAATCGTATTTGCACACGCTAAGTCTACTGTGATTGGTTGTTGAGTTCCTCAAGGTTAGGCTTTGTTCTTGTTTTTTCTCATGACCCCAATTCGAGATTTGAACATAGACGTAAATCTCTTTGGCAAATTCCTTTTCATAGCTATACAATCGCAAATACATATGGTTGTTTTGTATGCGTGTGTACATTAAATTTGTCAAACGAAAATACAATTAGTAAGTTCATATAAATTGCATGTTTTCTGGTAGAAAACAACATGCCTTTTTGAATGGAAAATGCTCTTTTTTCTGCTAATGGAATCTGGCGTGCCTCAAGGCGCTGGCTGTACTCTCTCCATTCCTTTTTTTCTTTCTTTTTGCATGACCTTCCGTATCCCTCCAAAGCTAACTTGATTAAATATGCCAACTATCTAAGCATTTCTGTCTCAGTGTAATAACAGAAGACAAGAGTCAGGCAACAGATCGTTTATTTACGAAATCAATACATATTTATAGATTTTCATGTACATTATTATAGATTATTGTGAGCAAACATTGGATTTTAGTTATATGGCGAATAGATTTTTTTCTAAAGTTAACAAGTCGTCTCACCTAAATTTTCTTAAACTGAATCCATCTAAATGTCATATTTCGGATCTTATTTTCAGTGGCAAAAAAGACTTGCGTGGACTGATTGATTAAGTATCATGATTCCGGTAATATTCACGGCATTGTGATAGGAAGTA